CCGTTTGACTCCGTTTTGGGTCGCGAGCGATACTAGAGAGATTAGCAGGCCTTGCTGTTGCGTGTTCAGCCTGATAAATTTGCGCGACACTAGTCTAAATACCTTCAGTGTAACATATACAAAATATACCGTAAACAAAATTGAACGAAAATTACTTTAACCTGCAGCTTTCATTTATCAATGTAATGGTGGAAACAACAACAACAACTTCGACAACGAAACAACAATTACATCGAAAACAACTCTGAGTAATCGCTTGTAGATATATACAAGACGACGCGAAGTGAAAAACAGTCGAGCCACTTGCTGCGACTCCAATTACGCGGTGTGCTTTGAGTATGTATATTTGTTCTTGGAAAGACGCCCTTGCCGCAGTTTCAGGCTCCAGAAAACTCTATAGATTCACTTCCGGCAATCGCCAACGAGCTCATTGTCTATTTTGCTTCTGTGTGCCCACATGACATACGACGCTGCTGCAGGCTCTTTATGCTCCACATTTTCTATTGTTGCAAAACTTGCGCTGCCAATACGGAACTGCTTGTTTGCCGGCGCCACACATCGTGGAAACGGCAAGAGGGCAGTGCATACACATCCGCGAGTACTTTGTTGGCCGAAGTGCTCGATTATATTGAGAACAGATCTATAGATCAGCGCGTCCTACATTAACGTTGGGCAGTATATAGTTATCTGTACAGCGTTTCTTTTCGAACACTCGCAAGCGTCTCATCAAAGCTGTATACACGCTTGCATCATCCCTGTCAGTGTAACACATTTGCATTTCAAATTTGGGATGTAGAACGCACGTTCTGGGTGGTTGTCTACTGTTTTTTGTACCTAATGAACATTACTAACGATTTTGTTAATTCCCTGAGATCTCTGTCACACTGAATTCTATAGTAATGAATGAGACTCGCTTCAGATAATGGTATAAGGTCAGTATCGCAGTTACCAACACGGGATGGCTTGCAAATCGTCGGCGTGTAAAATTACAAAAATTCCAGAAACACAAGATATTAATAGAGCTAATACCGGTGTCACACGGGCACTTTTAATCGCGATGAGGGTGATCCGGATCAGTTTTCTTGATCGCGATGAACTATATGGCCGCTGTTACACGGCCCAGAGCTTGGGTCAGATGAAATGCACCAGGTGGCATTTGCGTGCCATAAAACATGTCATTGACAAAACTCAGCGTAAGGTACTTTAATGGAGTCATTTATCAGCAATATGAAATTTGTGCAAAAATCGCTCCAACGCCAAAAGACTTTGCGTGCCACTACAACAGTAATTTCATAAATAAATCATTCGGTAGAGCTTTTTATTTGCATTTACTTGCATTGCTGCGTGAAAATCTGAATCATCACTTCTATTTTTGGTGGCACCTGGTCGTAGCCGTTAAGTCGCAGCGAAACGGCAATCTCGTTGTACACGCGAGAGTTACACTTGTGGAGCCTCAACTGCCTCAACCCTCCCATTCGCTCCTTCCAGCGGCCAATTACTGTAAGGGTTTCTTCATTCGACCACGAAGTGCGCGTACGCCGCCATGTAGTCGAAAAGCTAGGGACACTCGCAATCAATTTGCTTCGAGGTGCTCCAACTGCTGTGACAGTGCGAGAGTTCAACTTGTCGTCTGCTTATCGTCTCTTTCTCCCATAACTACATGTGGTGAATACGAATCTTAAAATATGCAATACCACAAATATCTTTATAATTGAAACAGTTTAAAATTTCTTTAGAAATAAATATCTAGAAGTTTAAAGCGGTGTTGACAGAACTGTGCTTGATTTTTCTGTTTTTTTTTTCAACAAGCTCGGCCAGGGGGTGCAGATGACACAAAATTACGATCTTTCGACTAGATCACCATGCGCGGATTGCGATAGCCTTGATCCCAATCTGGAATGATCGCGATAAAAAGTTACCGCGTAGCAGCACCTCATCCGGATCATGCTTATTTTGGATCGGTACTGATCCCAATCAAAAATGCCTGTGTGGCACCGGTATAAGAAAACGAGTGTCCTTCGACGCTTCGACATGAATTTCTAATGATTGTTATATTCTGCGACGCTCTCCTGACTTTCATGTGTGTGGGGGGAAGTACCAACTTCTGTCTACAGTAAGCCTGTGAAATCAATTGTAATACGCTTTATTTTTCTGCCACTAATGATGGGGTAACAGCTGAATGGTACAAAACATCTGTACGTGGAAAAGCCGCGGCGGTCACATTGCGGTGGAGTATCATGGCACCCCTATATCTATATGGCAGTTTTGAGACGCACCTCCCTACCTTTCCTACATTCCTTCTCTTAAGACGCAAAAGTCAATGTTAGTAGAGTTTCGTGCACGATGGTGTGCGTGACGACAGTATGCAGGTTGGCCTACGAAAAAGAATCGCTGAAGCGCAGCGTCCAACAGACACGCAGTGCCGGCAATGAGCATCCCCGAAGAAGAAACGACTTCTTATGCAGAAATGCTCAAAGGGCACCGCGACACACTATATTTAAAAGCTACAGTCGTGTGACATTTGTGTGCTTTCGTCGCAAGCGCCACCGTGTTCCTTGTTGGCCGTCAATGCTGCCTTCTTGGCCAGCACACTTTCATCGTTGAGCTTGAGTGACCGAGAACGGGAGCTTGGTCGACGTGCTTGGTTCTCAGTGCGTGGCTTATGCAATAGACTTAACATGCAACAAGATAAATGACACAAAAATCACTTTATGATTATTGTCAACTGCACGTGTGTATTCGTGTTCAGTACCGTATTTGAGGTCTGTATGCGTTCTGTTCCACATGACCTATACACGCACACTTGTCCTGTATTAGAGTCAGCTTCATTATGACCGTGGTATGTATACCTGTAATATAATTGACGATTCAGTAACGCAGCAACCTTTACACGGCCCAGATTTTTTTAGCTCTCTGTAAATGCACTTGTGTGAAAAAATTGTTACAGCCAAAGCACGTGCATGTGAAAAACCTAAATGTCCCGCTTTTAATAAATCAAACAATAAAGCGATAGGAATTGCAAGCGGCCATATTGTATTCTGTTGACTCTATCTGTCGGTGTGGTGCGATTTGTGAGTTAACACGTCTCTTAGATACAAATAATGCGCGATGGCACCGCATATCGAAGGGCAGCGTCGCATTACGCGCGCTGAAGTGTACGCATCATGATTGTAGTCCTATCTATTGTGTGCTCACGCATTCGCGGAATCAACATAACCCGTGACAGCGGTTGATTACGCGTGAATATTAGGTACGATTTCATGTGTGCATATTCTTATGAGCTCGTTGGTGCGTAAGCACTTGGGAGAAAGCTACTGTTTGCGTTCCTTTATTCCTTCTCGCGATGAACGCGCCAGTGGCTTCGACAAGAAAGAAAAAAGAAATTTGAACTGCTCTTGGCAGTGCTTTGGGAGATCCCACTGATCAATGTCATACGCAGGACCGATTGCGCACCGCGTTAGCGGTCACACACAAAAGAGTTTGCTGTTTATAAGGTTGTACCTACCAACTGCACTGCATATAACTTTGAAAAGCAGTCACATCACGGAAAAAAAAACAAAAAAAACAAGAGAGGGCTGACGAATTTTTGAAGATTTTTTTATTGAAAAAATGAAAAAAAAAAGGATAATTGTCTGTGTGGCATGCCTGCTTTGTTATTCAGTGCATGATTTTTTTAATGATCACTTGAATTTGGAAGCTGAGAGGATGTAGGATGTAAGCTGAGAAGACTGGTAATACTCTTGATATATATGAGCCTGCGCAAAGGACTGTCGTGTGCGCTATATTATGTAAGGATCGAAGTTAAAAAAAAAACAGTTAGTGAACGCTCGATCTTTCAGTATGTCTCTTGTGTGGAGTACTGTTTTCTGATTTGTGTATTAACTTTAAGCGATTACTGACTTAGTCAGTGCCAAATGACGCGCATGTCATCGAGAGAGTTATAAAGGCAACTGAGACCTTGATTGATGCCTCTCTCACCGGTGTATCAGAAAACTTTAGGAAATCAAGGTCATTTAATCCGGCGAAAAAAAAAGAAGAAAGAAATACGATGGAAAGAGAAGAGAGAAAGCTTCGGCTGAGAAACAGCTTGACCTGGAAAACATTAGCACAAGACGGATGACGACGACAAACAAGCGCTTATTCTTGTCAGTCTCGCCTGCTGGTGTGCCATACGCACGCGCGTCGAAGACACGACCGATAGTCAGCCGGGTGAAGGAACTATGAAGAAACCAAAGGCGAGCGCATTTTTTTCTTCTTTTTTTTCCTTCTATTTGCGTTTCGTGCCGTTCCTGCCAGAAACGATGAGCCCTGTCGTTTGGCGCGGCCGGAGCATGTACGCTGCAGCTGACGCCGCGTCCAGGTGACCGACTATAATGGCCCACGCCACTCTGTGGCCTGATTTCGCGCTCCTGAAGGCATCCCTCCATTGGCTGCAGGTCGGCAACGGACGAAGGCGGCGGGCATCGGCACGGCAGAAAGGGAGAGCCTTGGCGTCTTCTGTGATGCCGGTCTTCGCCGCCACCGCCGCCGCAGTGGACCGAGCGTGGAAAAACCTTCTTCGTACACTGGTTTTCTCCCGCCTTCCCCTCCCACCGCGACGCGGTCGTCGCTTGCCGGAGTCCCCCCCGCGAAAGTTGAACGAGACTCCTCGGCGCGCATCCTCCAGGGGCGATCGCTCCTCGCGAAGTTCCGCACGTTCTTCCAGCGGTTGAGTGGGCATGAACCGACGGTCGCCGCCGCCCCAGCGGCCGTGCCGAAGTCGCTCTGGCGTGACCCTCCACGGTGCCACGGCCAGGATCTTCATTGTCTGCGTCGTATTCGCGGTCACCTGCTGTTGCTGCGTCGATGTCGCACTAGCCGAGGAAAATGCGGCCTCATTGGGAGATGTAACGACGTCCCCAGCTTTTACCAATGAAGACAGTACAGCGACAAATGATCCCGCCGACGCCGACACGCCGCCCCCGCCCCCAAAGCTCACATGGCAAGGATTTATGCACAACATGACAACCAGCTTTGGGACTGTGCTCCACAAGATATTTCCCCTCATGGTGAGGGCCAGCTCGGAAGTGGAAATCGGGCCTGAATGCATGGCCAGCTACTTCAAGCTCTTCCTCGGGCTCCGAAAACTCAAGGGCTGGGCTGTCAGACGTAAGTTCTTAGATAGATGTTTATTTTCTGGAGTTTCAGCAGCTTTTGACTTACGCTCGGCTTTCGTATTGCTACAATGACTGCCTGTAGCCATATGAGAGTGAGAGACGCACCTTTATTTTTCACTTTCTTTGTTTCTTGAAACAAATGGCGGTGTGCAAAAACAACATAAATAACAACTAAAACACAGATGTTTTTTGCATGTAATAAGGGTATACCTGGCTTAATAAAACAGTTATTTCATGAGCTTCTGAGAAAGGTACGTCTGAAAAAACTTTGGAGATGAGAATAACAAAAAAAAATTATGCAGCCGCGTTTTTAAGTATACTGACACATATTTCAAGTGTATATAGTTTTATATTGAGTGCCAAACAATTTGAAGATAGTTGTCCTAAAAGGTCGAAAACCTTTCTGTCAGTTGCCTTTGCATGGCAGTGCGTTATAATTCTAGATAGAAACCAAGAAAGAATTGTCCCTGTATGACAAAGGACGTCTAGAGTGTTGCGGCACAAACAAGCGAAAGGTGAAAGTAGAGTGAACGAAAATCGAAGGATGTACGAATTTTGGTGTTTTTGTGAGGACTGTAGGCAGGGTGCTTTAGGCAGGGTGTTTTTGTGAGGACTGTATGCAGGGTGCTTTAGGTCGATAGAGAGGCAGATGCATTGAGCGGGAACCGAGGCAGAAAGGAAGGGTCAACCACCCTAAACGTCTAGAAACCAGTAGAGGCGCGTTTTTGTCGGTAAACTCTAGTTTTCGTTTATTTTTGATTGCTAATATTCGGAGGATGTAACCACCTGAGTGAAATTAAAACGCCAAAGCGTCACATGCGCACTCTGTTAAAATCAGTTTTGGAGGAGGAGGAGGAGGAAAGTTTAAGCAGAAAGACAGGCAGGTTAGCCAGTTTTTAGACCTGGCAGTCTTACTTAGCAAAACGCTTCCAAGCTTTTTCTTTCCCGAACCGAAATCGCGAGGTACTGTCGTGTTTTTCTTTTTACAATGTTTTTTTTGTTTTTTACGCTTATGGTCCTATTGACAACCCAATCGTTTGCTATGTAGAAACTTCGCGTCACTCCAGGGCAAACTATGAAGTATAGGGTTATGAACGATTCATCTTAGTTGCATGCTTTTGAAGAGTTGAAGTCCTGCACACGGAGCTCGCCAACAGTTGCACGGGGGAGACTCGACGAGCCAAGAAATTCAGTCAAGTTCTTTCCTGACAACAAAAGTGCTTAACATGCATGGGCTTGATTTTTTCCCATTCACTAGCCAGCTTGAGGTGGTGAAGTAGTCGATCGCTGTTTAAGAGCCTTCATGAAGATAATTTGCAGGGTACGGGCAGAGCTAAATGTGCAATACGTTACCATATATTTAGCTGCCAAAATGTCCGTGCTCATCAAACAAAACTCGAATGCACGTTTACGCTCAGAATGCCGTTAATGGCGAGGCAAGTGTGCTCCCGTTTGCTTTTCCTAACAGCCGAATAGCACTAAGCTGTTTGCTCTCAATGGTAAAGCAGCCAGAACGCTTTCAATTTAATCCACAAGCTTACTTCATTCAGCTCGCCGTAAAGGAAAACGCCTATACGTCTGACCTATTTATGTTTTTTTTCTCCTTCATTGAATTATTTGTGCAGTTTTTGCCATTCAACTTCCTCACATTCAAGCAAGACGCTTATTATATTGCTTCGGGGCTCTTGAATGAAGAGTACTTGCAAGGGTACCAGGTGGGGGTCTCTCTTCTACGGCGTTATTTTCTTTCCCTTTTTTAGTGCAAGGGAATGGCCCTTTTTTTTTATCGAATAACTTTTAAGTTGCTCAAGTAATAAGGGCCCTATGAACCTGACGTGAAAAATTTTGTATACCAGGAGGAGGAGGAGCTATAGAGAAGGGCTGATAGGCAAGGAGGATAGTCAGGTTTCAAACTGGCTGGCTATACTGTGCTCGAGAAAGGCTTAAGTAGAAGAAAAGATGATAGATGAGAGGTGTTAAAAAAAAGGCGGGAAAAATGTAATTTGCAGAGAGCCTCTGGATATTGAAGTGAAACACCACAATACACTCTTTTATCAACTAAATGAGTACTATTAGGTTAATATCAAAATAAATGCCGGATTGCGTTCCTGACTTGCTAATTTGCGTCAAATAGATTACGGGAGATACTTTACAGGCTGTAAATTAGAGGATTGTTGATTGCCATGCAGAGTATAGATTAGCATCAATTTTGTTTTATACTCAGTACCATCAACATGAATGCTAGGACAGTTGACAAATATGACGCCGTGACTTTCAATTTATAGTTGTACTTGCCGGATACAGTGGCTTCACTGAAGCACATAATTTGTACTTGCCGGATACAGTGGCTTCACTGAAGCACATAATTTTCCGCTTAGCCGTAAAAAGATGGCAAACATAGACCCGATGTGGAAATATTAAAGATAACGCTTGTGCAAAGCTCCACAAACACTGTGTGAATAAAGCTTGTGCAAAATATTTGGCTGGTCAGTTCGCAGCTTTCTATCCAACATCGTTTGATGTTATGCAAAGCGTTTGCAGATGACCCAACATGTTTTTGTGAACACGGTGGCAAGAACTACGGCTGATTTATTGTTCTTCGCAAAAATGATGCCACACCCGGCTCTGCACGACCTGCAGAGAAATGATACATAGCGTTTAAATCAGCAGTAAGGAAACGGGGCAGAAACTGGCATGTATTCAAACATATATAATCAATATTATTATGCAACATAGCTAGAACGAGGGACAGTGGTAAGTTTGAGGATTATTCGCGCGTGACAATCTTGTATCTGTGACCGATGGAAATTGGCACGCACACGTTCACTTTCGATTATGCGCTTTCGCTTTTCAAGGCATGGCACGCGACGCGACGTTACGCATGCTCCTATGGGGGGTAGGGGGGAGGGTCTTAATTTTTTGGTGTAGGCACACAATTGATTTGTGGGGTTTAACGTCCCAAAACCACCATATGATTATGAGAGACGCCGTAGTGGAGGGCTCCGGAAATTTTGACCACCTGGGGTTCTTTAACGTGCACCCAAATCTGAGTACACGGGCCTACAACATTTCCGCCTCCATCGGAAATGCAGCCGCCACAGCCGGGATTTGATCCCGCGAGTGTAGGCACACGAGAAGTTAGCATGTGGTTGGCGGGGGGGGGGGGGGGGGGGTCTAATGAGCTTAGCATATGGCTTGTGTTCTGGTCGGGCCATGGATTGAAGCCTGCAATCCCATATGTATATTATTTATTCTCTTCGATTGGAGGAGTGACTGGGTGCTAAGTTCTATTTATTTTGGTTTATTTTACATACTGCAGCCCTATAAAAGGGCTACTGTAGGAGTGGGGTTATATAGTGTAAAAATATCCCAAGAGTAAAGATACATAAGAAGTAACAACAAAATAACAATAAAACACATTTACAACAATAAAGGAATTTAAACTTTTGTTACATAATCGTTTTCAGCAAGAACAGTAACATAATCATTGAGGGGGAGTGATCGAATGTGATTAGGTAGGTATGCCATTATTCTATTATTTTGGGAAAGAAGCTATACTTGAATGTATATGTGCACGCAAAAAAGGTAGCAAGATTGAGCTCGTAGAAGTTACGGGTAGAGGAAGGCTGAGCAAATGACAAAAAGGCTGTGTTTGAAATGCGATATGAATGGTTGAGTATGTTGTGAAAAAAGTTTAATAATTTTTCATCATGACGTACCAAAAGAGGTTCTAGTTTTAACTCATGTAATGCTAAAGACGGTGAGAAGTAGCGGTAGTACCTGCGAAAAATGAAAGAGGCAGCTTTCTTTTGAACTGCTTCTAGTCTGATTATGTCACATAGTTTGTAAGGTTACCACACTATGGAGACATAATGTATGATAGGGCGAACAAGAGATTTATACATTAAAAGTTTCACACCTTTCGGTGCTTTCTGCATTGTTGAACGAAAATATCCTAGTTGCTTTAAGGCTCTGGATCATGTTAAGGCAATATGAGTAGAACATTAAAGACCATGAGTGAAGGTGAAACCAGACATTTATACTGCATAACTCTAGCTAAAGAGATGCCATTGTAAAAGTATGTTGCAATAACCGGCATTACTTTTCTTGTGAATGACAGAAAAAGTCTTTTTGAAACTATTGTTCATTATTCATTTTTCGCACCAACACAAAATGAGGTAATGGAATCATTCAAACGCTTTTCGTCACCCACAGAAACTATTACTTAAGTACGTACCAACGTGCCGCAACGTGACTGATATAAGGGTGAAATATGATGCAAATTAAATTTGGAACAATGCAAATTGGGTTGTTACACAGTTCAGGAAATGTTTGTAAGGGCACATTGAACAACATAACATGCAAATATTAAAACTACAAATCAGAGGACACAATGGCATATTATAAAATAGCATGCAACCAAAATAACGCCTTCCCCGACATGACTTCATAGCTCTGCCGTATACTATAATTGCCAAACGCACGTTTTTAGCTTTTGTCAGTCACGCAAAGAGTAGATATAAGGAAGTGGGCACCACGTGCATATTTCTGGCATGCAGTCTCCGTCTCCGAATGATGCTCTCTTCTCACGCGACTCCTGCTGTCTCTGCTGGCGCTGAGTAGTTTGGAAGAATTTGTTGCATCATTTTCATGCTTGGAAAAACACACGAACGTGTGTTAACAGTGTTTTCACAGGAATATATATTTGCACAGCACAAGAGTGTCTCGCTCCTCCATGAATACGCAGACAGCTAAAACGGGGCTTTGGTTAGACTCCAAAGCGCTTCGCGGGTCCAAAATATAGTGTGACCCTATCAACTCTCTTAGCTTAAATGGTACGCTATATCAGCGTACTAATGTGCCCCTTCAAGTGCACCAGTATAAGCGACTGTTGATAGTCCTCTTGTACATCTTCCTTCGGGTGCATGTACAGAATTTCACCCTATTTCGCCCTTTCTTTTCCCGAACTCCCTTTAATCTTTCGTATAATGA